CCAAGGAGCAGCCCATCTCAAAGATGAGAAGAACAGAACTGAATCTGGATGACCCAGCAACTCAGCCAGCATCTTAATTTGTAAACCAACAATTTTAGCTGTATATTTTGTGGGGGGTGAAAGCAACTCTAGGTAAACTAACTGAGGCAGTGAGCTCTTGACCAGGAAAACTGGAAAAGTTCGATGATAGCAGATTGTTGCTTTTTTAAGCAGAAAAAGGATTAGGTCTCTGTACCAACAAACAAGACTGTGACAGCCTGCCTCTGAGCAATCCTTTTCCTTGCCTCTCAGAGAAGACATGCTTTGCAGCTGAGAGTGCACACGGAGAGCACGGCCCTTGAGCCTCACCCCCGGAAAGCCCAGCACAGAGTCTGCCAGTTTGTGAAAGGCTGTTGCAAAGAGACAGGACTAATCAGTTGTCCATATCCATGGGGTATAAAACAAGGTGTAAAGGAGCTTAGTTGAAACAAGACTCAGGTTAGACATCAGGGAAAACTAACAGAAATGGCAAGGGCAGAGGAGCTCTGCTTGAACAGATGATCTCAGGTGATTGTGGAATCCCAACTGAGAGATCAAAGAAACATCAATGAAGAAACACATTTGTAGAGTTAACTGAAGAGAGACAGCGCAGGGGAAAGGAAATTAGATGACACGTTGAAGTCTCTTTCAGTCTGTTTTTTATGATTCATGATCTCTTGATTCTTACTTTGGAGCTGATAATACTTATGTGATGAGCAATCATCCTGTCTGAATTTTCTTTGGGGGAAAAAAAAAAAAGAGTCCTGGTAATCGAAACCTGCTGATAGTGCATCCAGCTGACGAGTTTTTTATTCGAATATTCATAAAAAGATTCATATTCATGTGCAACAGAAATTCATATAGTGCTCTCTGACATAAATACATTCAAATGAATACCAAAGAGGAAAATAAAATACTCCACTCCCTTCCTAGAACTCAGAGAAAGTGGTCAGTAATTAAACCAAAAGAGGTGACAGAAGGGGAGAAAATCCTTCCAAGAGATACATCTACAGAAAATTATGACATAGCAATTAAGAGAATATTAGACCATCCATTACTGATAAACTGTAAAATTTCTGGTCCAGCCTTCCAACCACAATGAAGGATTGGCTGTTGGCTACATAGAAGTGTGACAGTGAAATGAAAACACTTACAATTTGTTTTGAAAGACTAGAGTTTAACAATTATTTTTAACATCAGAATTACTAAATACAGTTTTAACTCTCTAAAGTGCATAAATAATACATTATTTTCCTAGTTCACCAGCTAAAACTCAGGGTATACATAAGGTACATAGAACAAATGCAGATGTTACACACAGAAGAATTCAGTTCTACCTCAGGATTATGTAAAAAAAGTTGTACATCAGAATGAGAAACACTATCATAAGATGAGAGAAAAGGGACAAGATCAAAGAGAGTACATATGAAGTTTTCCTTCATCCTATATCTATCCCAGTATCAAAACTGATATCAAAACTGGTATCAAAACACTCTGTCACACACTGAGCACCATCACAAGGCATGAGCTGCACCATCAGCCACATCACTGTTTTCTTGGCTTAGATGAAGATCTAGTGAATGATTGTATACAGTTATCTATACTTAACTGCTATTTTAAATATTGCAGGAGAACTGGAGTTCCTTTGTTCTTTGAGACACAAAGAAATGAGTCTTACAGTCAAAAAAGGTGTCAGGATTATTGATGCTGTACAACGCTGAAGATGGCAAACATTCTGTGGGTATAAATACACCTGTCAATAGTGAGCTACTGGGCATGCAAGGATACATAAAACTAGGCCCTAGCTGGCACTTCTTGCCTTTCACAGCCAGCTACAACCTGGCTCTCCGATATTTGCTATTGTCAGCCTTCTGGTTTTGGCAGTTCTGGCTTTAAATTTTGAATCCCATAAATCAGCTTCATGGGCTGAAGTAGCTTGTGTAAAAACTTCCCCACTTCACATATTCTACTGAATTTGGGACATGTAGTTATTTTATTTGATAATTGTGATAAGTCACCAAAATAATATGTCCTCTAATAGAGTAAAACACATAGTCAAGAAGTTAAAAAAAATAAAATAAATAATTTTTTTAAAAATCAAAGCTAAACATAAATATGCACAACTTGATCTATCTAAAAATCAAGAAAAGCATATCCTACTCAGAACTTTGAAGGTGCAATTGCTTTGTCTCTGGAAATTGTTTTTCCTCAAACCAACCATAAATTCCCGACCTACAGACATATTCTTCCATACAAAGTTACTGTATTCTTACCGTCTCAAACAGATGCAATATTCCAAGAGAAATCTGTTTAGTGAAATAGCTGATGAATCAAGTCAGTATTTCACAGTAAACAGATCCAGAAATATTCTTCAGATTTTGTCAAGTAACATATTGGCCATGTCCTAAATCGTGGAGATACATTCCCCTATCAGTATTACCAGTGGATTACCACTACAGCACTGCAGCAGCACAGTGAAGATGTACTATTCTAAAATAAGTACAGGTAGCTCCAAATCTGTCAGAAAAGAAGGAAATATGTGTCCTAGGAATATCATATATCTTCCTGTCTGAAAAAGTCTTTGCTTCTATTACAGTGCCCTTGGCCACGTAAGATGGTTTCCAGAAGCAGGTAACACAAAAGGACGAGACTGAGCCCTGTGTGAGAGCTGCAGGAGCTCCTCCACTGTCCACATGCCCTCAGAGGTGTGCTGGCCTTGCCTGAACTCGGCTGTAACTGTGGATGTGTGGAGCACCTCACTTGTTCCCTCCTCACTTGCCCTTTCAACTCCATCTCGACCCTTTTTTCCCCACTATTTTTTATTTCAGTAGCAGTGAGGGGCAAAAGGGAGCACGTGTGTGTGCTAAGCTCTCTAGCTCTTTGAAAAGTGAAGGGTTTAGTTAATGGCACAGGGTACACGTTGAACATGACTCGTCACTCCCACCTCCCCTCACTCTGTCCAGATGGCACAAAGCACCAGGATTATGGACCCAACTTCTAGGACAGAAGTCTCCCCATCTGCTTCTCTGGTTATTTAAAAAGGCTGCACAGACGAACTACATTAAACTAAGAAACTACCAGCTCAGCTGCTAGGTTGTAGAGGCAAGCTTGAGTGAAAACAAGGAAAATGCCTGATCTTTACTGTAGAACACATATGGCAGCCTCTTCTTAGAAGTGGTTTTTGTCATGTGAGAAGTCGTGCGTTTCAGGCATTTGTAGACACCCATTCAATTCCTCTTCCCCCCCCCGCCCCCTTTAATTTAATCCATTTGTGGAGCTGTTCAGACAATCAGGACAAGTGATATAGGTGCTTGTTTATACAGTGTTTTGACAGCTACAACTTCAAAACCTACTGGATCATAGGAAAAATCAAGGCGGAGGTTATTTAAAATAAAAAATTGCTGGAAGCATATTTCTGTATATTTTTCAGGAGTATACAGTCTCTATAAAAGCACAAATTTTGCATTCTTAGTAAGGTCAGAAGACTTGTGATTTCTTTTTTTTAACATACCTAAAAGATTTTAGGAAAAAATATATTTAAAGTAAAAATAAATACATATTCTTTTTACCTGCTATTAGCTATTTTAAGAATTGGAATGTAAATAACATGCTTGTTTTGCAGTATTACATTAACTTCCTGATAAAGGACATTTGGTTTGAGGGAGACAGAAATGCTCTACTGTAGACAGACTCTTCATAGCCTCTCTTAAAATAAGAAAGAAGACTGTATGGTCAATAGCAATTCCCAAACATTCAAGCTAAGTAATATTTTCCTGCCAAAAGAATGTATCAAATGCATTGCCATGCCTCTATACTACATTATGAAGGATATTTTAGAAGATCCTCTGATCCTGATATTCTGGTAATAAGCATATGCTGCTCATTCAGTGATCCTGTCTATGAAACCAGCATTTTAATACTGGTTAAAGTTAAGTCAATGTGCTTTAGGTTTCCTATCCTAAATAACTCTGTCATCGATACCAAAGGACATTTTTGTCTCTACTGTCAATTACTCTTAATTGTAGTTTTCAATTACACTCTCAATTTTTCCTGAGTATAAGAAACCAAAACACTTAAGTTAGCCTGCTAAAAAAAGTATATTTCCTTTATTCGGGTTTTACATTGAAAGCTGAATTTGATTAAAGGATTTTGATTCTTTGTGCAAAGCATCTTGAAATAGGTATATTTTTTTCCTGTATATTTCTAGATTTTGGTTCATTTCTATATTTGTTTGATTGGTTGTTTTTTGGTTTTGTTTTCTTTGTTTGTGGCTCTTGGTGGGTGTTCTTTGTTTGCTGGTTTTGTTTGGTGTTTTGGGCTTTTTAAAATAGATGCATAGATGCCTTTTGTAGTTTGTTTTCCTTTACAGGTTATGACATCAGATAGAAATCCAAAGAAAAAAAATATTACCTGCTATAATAATTCACAATGGAAAACATACTTGATGTGATACAAGAGGAATAGCTCTTGCTAAAAAGTTTCTGAGATTTTTTTTAAATTTTTACTATAAATTATGTGCTTCTTCCAGGCAAAGAAGAACATACAATAGTCTGTAACATAATAATTTTTTTCCACAGTACAGTAAATATAATAATTTACACAGAAGGCACTCAAAAACCTCACATCAGGATGCTCTCAGATCTCATCTAAGCTGAATGCCTGAAAAGCAACCTTGCAACTGTAGAAATGCTATTTTCCTAGAGTAATACAGTTTTTCAGATTACATACTAAGGATTTGATAAACGATTGCAAACCTTGAACTAATTAAAAAATAAATTTCTCTTATTTTTTTTCCTTAAAAGGAAAAAAAACCCCAAAACCTGAGAACTAGATGCTAATACTTTCATTCAAAACTTTACAGAAATTTGAGTAAATCTGAAAATATCAGCTTAATGTTTGCACATTGAGAGAGTAATTAGTTAATAGCTTTTCTTTTTTGAGAAAGATCAAGTTTTTATCCATGGCTGCCAATTACGGACGATACTACAAAAAACACTGTGGAGATGCTTACCACCAATACTCCAAGTACCCCGGCATCTTTACATAAGAAATTACACATTAAGAGTAACTTTTTATTGGTAGTTCTTTTACTGTATTTCTTTTTTGTAATATAAAACAACCATACAAACTAATTGCAGAAGATTTGGAAGCAAAGATTTCACCAAAGGTGAAAGAGGACCTAGGAACTTCCAGCAGCACTCACTGCTACTATGGAAGCAGTGCCTGCCTTTATGATACTATGGCTGTCCAGCTGACATTTGCCTGACCAAACATATTGTATCTGTCCTGGGTAATGACCCAAAACTTGAAAAAGATAAGGTAATATTTTTCAAAATGAGTACCAAGTAATATTTTCAAGATCGTACTGTTTCAGTATACAAAGAAGCTGCATTTACTAGAAAAATCCAACAAGTAGGAAATGCACCATCCCAATTTCTTAGCAATACCATCATTGTGAATGTCTCTCACTTTGCTCCCCCTACCCTTTCACATAGTCCAGCTTTTTATAGCAATTCTTTATTCCATGGAGGGACATCATATTATCTGCTCAGGTGTTCAAAATTCCCATGGCAATCTGCCTGGGTGTCCAGGGTACCCCTGAGATGGATCATGCCCCACAGCAGATGCATCCAACAGAACCCAGTACCAGCAGGGCAGTGAGTATTGAAGGGAGAACTGTTAGAGGGTGATCAGTCTGCAAGTCTGCAACATAAAGAAACTTAAAAAATTGTTGGGCCCAGTCTTCATTGATAAATATGATGTAAATTTAAAGCTAAATTTAAATGTGGCATTTAAGTTGAAAATTATAGCTCTGATGGAAAACTAGCTTTAAGGCACTGTGACAAAAAATCCAGTAAAGTCAGTAGTGCTCTCTGACTCCAATAAATTCAGAAAGCTTTTTAAAAAATTATTTGAATGATGGGATTTGTTTCCTATCTTACTCTGACCAAGCCCAAATCTTTCACATCCAGAAAAAAAAAAAAAAAGTACGCATTTTAGTGATGCACTGTTTTCTGGAACGTATTAATTTCTACTACTGAAATTACTTATGTTTGTTTTAAACAATGTGGATACTGATAAGATGGTTTCAGATACAATCCTGTAACACTTGTTTTGTCTGTGTTTAATTTTTTTGCAGTACTAATTCCCAAACTATGCTGACAAGGTCCACTGTGAGCTTCTAGAAGATCTTTGTACATTAAGTGACTCCACTTAGCATAATGTTGTTGGCAGTGGGGACTTTGTTGTTTATTGACAGCAGATTATTCACTACAAAAATAATTATTTCTTTGAACATAATTGAAAACAGTATACAAGCTATCTAAATAGTTTGTCCTCTCCTAGGCAAATTAAAAATGGGTGGGTGCAACTTGAACAGAGCACAGTATTTAATTTACCACTACTTAATAATACATGGGCTGTAAAGCCCATTTCCCTCAGTTTGTTAGATGGTATAACACACACACAGCTTCCTCTCAATGCAAACTTAACAGATGTTTTCCAGCTTTAGGGTTTTTTTCCTAAGAATCACTTTCAAGGTTTGCACTCTTTCAGCAGAATTGATGAAAATATGATTGCTTTTCATGACTCCTCCTCTGCTGCTGGGTAGGCACATTAAAAAGACATAGCTGTCTATCTCAATGTACCCATGCCATAGTAAAATGTGTGTTATTTACTGATAAAAACCACATGACAGCAGTTTAAAAACAGGATTTATTCTGTCAGTCAAATTAGGGAGGCAGAATATCCTCTATGCCAAGTGATTACTGTCTGGGTCTAAGTGTGGCAAACTGCCAGATCAATTATAATGGTAGAGAAGAGGAAATATGAAGACAGATTGGCTCAATTCTAAGCAGAAGCATCACTAAAAAAAGAAACCCAGGGACACTTTAATGCAACATCCAATTACTTAAAAGCGCATCTTCAGCCTACAGTGCAGTTTTTGTTTATATGGTTTCTTTCTACATAGAGTATTAAAAGGGAAATCAGCATAGAGTTGGACAAATCAGGTGTAAATAAAAACCACACGGATATAACCTGCACCTTGATGCTTCTGAGATGTAAATTTCTGAATGTCATTTTTTACAACAAAAGCCTAGAAATACCATGGGAAAATAGAAGATATCCAATAACATTTCAGATGTAATCCTGTTAAAACAGTGTTACTTACCCCTTCGATCTGTAATTGATTTCAAAGGGAAAGAAAATGGCTAGATTACTTTTCATACCCAAGTTTCTCCTCTACTATTCATTATTTTATGGATAATTTACCTTTCCCAATACTGCAGGAAAAAGGATGATAGTAGAGCTGTTCAGACTAAAGACACCTAAAACTGATCTATGATGTTAGCTCCCTTATTAAAAGAGGAAATTAGAAAAAGGCAGATAAACGTGTTTTGTCTTTTCTTACTATTATTATTATTAATAGTGGAATTCATCTTCTCAGTTGCACATCCTTATTTTAGGTTCTTACAGCTGATGTGGGGAACACGCATGGGGAATATGAGTTTCCAAGAAAAGACCAAGAATTTAGTATTCTAGAGGACAAATTCATCAGCTTTGTATGGTATGGTTTGATCAGTCTTTAGATGAAACCTGAAAGAAATTGATTCTGATAAAAGTTGCTAAGGTTAATGTTTCCACAAGTGGTGCAAATTAGTGTTTGATCATTATTTCATAGCAAAATGACATTGTTTTGAATGACACACATCTAAAAACCTGCAGCCCTCAGCATCATAAAAATTATGGGGCAAAATTAAAAATCAGTAACCAGAAATAGATAAAATACAGTAATATGAAATAATGAGGAAACTTTCAGGATTTCATCAGGGGATAATTACGTGATGTTGTTTATACATGAAAAAACTAGATCTCTCTATTACAAAACTTTGGAATGCATTAAAATTCAGAGACATGCAGAAATGTTAAACCATGTTCAAGATATTTGCACCAAAGCAAGAAGAAAACCAGACCTATTATCTGAAGCCTGCTGCATGAGGACTATTAAAAAGATGCACAATATATTAGGGCTCAAAGATATTCTTGCTAGACTTTGAAGAAGGTTTATGAAAAAACAAGGAATGAAACAAGTATTTCACTGAGACTCAGAAACTGTAAGGCAAAAAAAAAATATAATAATATGAGAACCTTAATGTTTTTTGAATCATTAGGAAGAATTCTTCATCTGTAACAGAAGAGAGATTTAAAATGAGAATTATTGCTAGAAGAATTTGAAAATAAGCACAGGAGAATCTAATGCTAAGCACTTTCAGTTTGTACTCCATCTGCCATTTTTTAACACACTAATATGAAAATGTATTTATAGCCCATAAATCTATCTTATGAATACAAAGTATTCCAGAGAAAACTACAATTTTATACAATTTATAAAACTGTTTAACTGATGGCTTTAACTCAGGAATCATCATACCCCAAAGTACTCATTTTTTTGGAGTCCGTTTAGTATAACATAAGAAACTGGAGGCAAAATACCATTCAGTTAACTGCATCTCTGAGTAACTGTTCAGTTTCAATCCAGCCTGTCAATGTGTGGAAATTGTATTTCCATCTTGAACGTGTAAGCAGGTGAATACAACTCCCTCTATTTCCACTTTATAAATGTAGTGCATGAAACAAGAAAGATCAATGCTGGAAGATTATAATTTTTTCTGGTGTCATTCCTTTCAAAAGGATACTGAAAAAAGATGAGGAGAATGAGCTGTGTGAATGACTAAAAATTAGAAGTAAACTTCATTATAATTAGACAACAAAACTGCAATCTGTGGTGTTTTGGTATTTTTAACCACAAAGAGATTAAAATTGATGCAATTGCCAATAAATAGAGACTAGAATATAACTATATCTATATATGAACCTTAATGTTTTTTGAATCATTAGGAAGAATTCTTCATCTGTAACAGAAGAGAGATTTAAAATGAGAATTATTGCTAGAAGAATTTGAAAATAAGCACAGGAGAATCTAATGCTAAGCACTTTCAGTTTGTACTCCATCTGCCATTTTTTAACACACTAATATGAAAATGTATTTATAGCCCATAAATCTATCTTATGAATACAAAGTATTCCAGAGAAAACTACAATTTTATACAATTTATAAAACTGTTTAACTGATGGCTTTAACTCAGGAATCATCATACCCCAAAGTACTCATTTTTTTGGAGTCCGTTTAGTATAACATAAGAAACTGGAGGCAAAATACCATTCAGTTAACTGCATCTCTGAGTAACTGTTCAGTTTCAATCCAGCCTGTCAATGTGTGGAAATTGTATTTCCATCTTGAACGTGTAAGCAGGTGAATACAACTCCCTCTATTTCCACTTTATAAATGTAGTGCATGAAACAAGAAAGATCAATGCTGGAAGATTATAATTTTTTCTGGTGTCATTCCTTTCAAAAGGATACTGAAAAAAGATGAGGAGAATGAGCTGTGTGAATGACTAAAAATTAGAAGTAAACTCCATTATAATTAGACAACAAAACTGCAATCTGTGGTGTTTTGGTATTTTTAACCACAAAGAGATTAAAATTGATGCAATTGCCAATAAATAAAGACTAGAACTAAATATATATATAACTATATATATAAAAATATATATATAAATATATATATATGTAAGTATTTTTCTGCAGAGGATAAATACCCAGGTACAGAAGGGATACTTCATGATTTGAAGCTCTTTAGGGGTAACCAAACATCTTTCTTGAAGAGATTCTATAGTCCAGAAAGAAGCTTTGGTCATAAATCAGAAACTGGTAAGCAAGATTCTTTGACCTCTGATCAAACCTGATGATCACTAAAGGTCCTATGCTGGTGTAACACTGTATGCATTTTAAATGGTTCTCCACATTACCATTTACTCTTTCTAATATATCTCAGGACACAGAGCGATGATTCTTCCCTCATGACTGCCTTATCATTATCACTTATCACTAAGTCATTTCATTTCATTTCCCTTTGTCAAGAAAATCACAGAATGCAATTTAAGCTGATCCAGTAATGAAGCTGAGTCAGGCGGAGCAACTTCTGAAACTCTAATGCTTAAGAAAGATGTCTCACACTTTAGGCCAATGGCACAATATACATGTGCAGAAGCTGAGGATGGCCATCTGCTTTATAAGGCTAGTGGGAATAGACAACAGTCTGAAGCACCGGACAAAGCCCACAGCTCCTGTGAGCCTGGAGTATTCTCTCATTGAGGTTTTTCATTCTTATCACAGGGGAAACCATAACTGGCTCTAAATGCAACAATGGAATCCATCTGCACTAATAGACTGAAAAAATCTGTATTTTCTATGTTACCTGTCTGACACCCTTGGTTCTGCCTCTACCTAAATTACTTGGAAAATATGGGCAGGCATCCTACTGGCATATACATCCCAGAGGATAAGTCGGCCAGCAGAGCCCTTCCTGAACCTACTGATGAGGTGTGCCTGAAACATTAAGGATACATAGTTAAGCATTCACACAGGAAATGCTGTAATTAAGGTCACATGCATTTTTTTGCTGCATCTACTTATGTGTCAAATTTATAGGCTAGATAAGCTATTTAATTATAAGATCACATCACAGTTCAAATATCAGTCAAATTACTCATTATTAATGTTGCATCCCTACTTTCCTGAAATTTACTTTATGTGGCATTTCAAATTATATGACAGTTTTATGAAGTCTTGTACACTGT